CACTCCACTCAAAGCGCTTTACAGGTAATGGGGACTCCCCCCCACCACCAGTGTGCAGCCCCAACTGGATGATGCGACAGCAGCCATAGTGCACCAGTACACTCTCCACACATCAGCTCTCAGTGGGGAGGAGAGCAGAGCCAGTTCATAGATGGGGATTATTAGGAGGCCATGATTGGGAAGGGCCAATGGGAAATTTGGCCAGGACGTCGGGGTTACACCCCTACACTAGCAGTCCATTTTACCCCAATCTACATTAACCGCAAGTGTGGACATAACTGTCTAAAACTGCCACCACTTTTTTTTTTAATCTTGTATTATATCCACAACTGTAGGCGCTCAGCTCATCGCTATCTTTATTTTCCAGTAGAGGTTAAAAAAGAGGTTTTCCACAATATTACGGAAGTGTAAAGTGTATTCATTCACATAAGAATAGAACAAACAAAAAAAAATAAAATTTCATGCTTCAGCTCCGGTTGCAGTTATTAATATGAAAGATACACAAAAACTATTTAAGACATGAACTTCATAGTCAAATCTTTTTCATTTTCACTCGGGGATAACGCGTCTCAGTCTCAGAATGGAACTTCATCTAACAAAGGAAGAAAGGACGGGTTACAGAAAACAAACTATCAAGAACTAATGTATTGAAGGAACAAATGCAATTAACTATGTATTTAATTATTTTAAAACTATTGCATTTGATATAATGTAGAGATACACACCTGAATAACAAAACCAGCTGGCAGCAGGAAACCTCACCAGAAATTGGCTGCGCTCTATAAACATCCGGTTGATTTCTACGACCAGAAAAAGAGCTAAAACATTTGGAAACACCACCCTCTAGAGATTGGAAGAGTATAAAGTAACGTACTGTATTGTTACAAATCGTGCACTATCGTTGTAATTCAAGTGTTTAATTTCCGATAACCACCACCACCACGAATAATATTAATAATAATAATAATAATAATAATAATAATAATAATAATAATAAAAATAATAACAACAGATGCTGGTATACTGTTTTTTCCTCCGAAGCTAAGGATAAAATACAACGGCAATTTGATTATTATTTTCCGCCTATCAGACAAACTTGTCATTCAAGGTTCTTCGAAGGTTGAATGTTTTATTGGTGCTGAACAAAGTACAAGAAAAATATGTTTTTCTAAGATTTTTTTCTAAGATGTTCAGATAGAGAAGACCTCATTGCGTTATTAATATTGTTGAGTATACTGTAAGGTATTTTTGTGCCTTCATACAGATAAACTACAATACAAAAGAAACGAGTTTGGTAAGAGATGTACTGATAATTCAGTGTGATTGACAAAACTACTTCAGCTTCTAAGTTTTTATGATCCTTCGAGTTTTCTACTTGTTTTCTCCAAGGAAATTTACATTCAAACTAAGAATGAACTAAAAAACATCTACACATATTGAAATGTGCAATCAGCCCATATCTGTAATAAAATGATAATTGATTTGGCTGGCTTACCAAAACCCATCCTTCCACCCATTTATTAACCATTTCAGTCAATTCAGGAGCCGGAGTCTATCTCATGAAGCACTGGAGTACACTATGGACTGGAGAGGAAACTAATTCACATACCAGTATGTCTTTGAACTGTGCTAGGAAACTGAATCACCCTGAGGAAACTCATGTGAGCATGGGGAGAGCATACAAACTCCACACAGATAGCACCCCAGGAACTGAACCCAGGACCCCAGCTCTGTGTGGCGACAATGGTAACTACTGCACCACCTTACCGCGTGATTTACAAAAAGCAAAGAAAGCGAATTCTAGTTTCACACTAAACAAAGAGAGTCGCAAAAGCTACAGTTCTGATGCTTTATCACCTGTGAAAATACTGAACGTGACAGAAGGTTAACACAGGCTCGACCTTTAGTGGAGCAGCTGAGAGTGCAGATTGAGCCCTATTCACCAGGGTTATCCAGTTCTGCTCCTGGAAGGTCAGTGTATCTGCTGGTTTTCTAGGTTGCTTTAAAGCAGCAGCACCTGAAGTGCTGAGAGGTGTTATTATACTGGTCCAATTAAACTAGTAAATTCCTTACACTTATATGGAGCTTTTCTGGATACTCCACTCAAAGCGCTTTACAGGTAATGGGGACACTGGGGTTACACCCCTACTCTTTTTGAGAAATGCCCCGGGATTTTGAATGACCTCAGAGAGTCAGGACCTCGGTTTTACGTGTCACCCGCAGGATAGTGCCTTTTTACAGTATAGTGTCCCCGTCACTATACCGGGGCATTAGGACTGACACAGACCGCAGGGTGAGCGCCCCCTGCTGGCCCCACTAACACCCCTTCTAGCTACAATCAGCTTTCCCAGGAGGTCTCCCCTCCAGGTACTGATCAGGTTCACACCTGCTGAGCTTCCGTAGGGTGTCAGTTTTTAGTTGCAGGACAAAATGGCTGCTGGCAAAAGAGCAGGTTAAGAGGTTAAGGTTCATTCCACATTGAAAGGCAAAGAAAAGAAAATGTTTTAACTGTGCAGCCTTCTTCTGGCGTGTGGAGTCTTCTTCATAGTCAAATCATAGTGTTTCTTTTCTTTACCTTTCTGTATGTGATGACTTCTTACCTGTTCTTTTATGGCCTATGCATGCTGACAAAGCTCCCTACTTGAACCAATTAATCTAGTAGCCAACCGATTTAGACTGTTAAGAGCCCGTGTTGTGATGAGAACCTCCAGACACACTGACACCTCAGGAGCAGGAATGGACAGCTCTGCTTACAAAGCAAGCATCCCTGGTTCATACCTGGGCTAAGTCGTTAGCCAGCTGTGATCTGGATTCCCAAAGTGGCACTGGGAATGGCTGAGTTTGAGTATGTGGTGTCCTCACCTTGGTCCGCCGGAGAGACCCCCAGGGACCTCTCAGGCACTCAGGAGTCGGCCAGTCTGGCAGCAAGAAGTACACCCCTCCTCCCTGATGTGAAATAAACCAGTGGTGCCAGTGGCTGTAGGGCAGAGATTCTCAATCCTGGTGCCTGAGGTTTTCACATGTTGGTTTGTGGTCAAGCCAAGCTCTCTGTTATATAATTAAACTATTAACAAACCTCATCACCACGTTCATTTCAATTATTTGTTTTTACCTCTCAAACAATTTGGATGTTGCCCTTTAACTGTAGTATTAGATAAATAACTTACAACCTCCCAAGTTCAACTCAGAAAAAGGTTTGATTAAGTGAAGAACTCTGCAGAGCTCATAGCGTGTCCTACAGCCAGAGGCTGAGACAGTGAATGCACAGGGATGTGAGTACAAAAGGACTTCCTCCACCGTGCTAGTTCACAAACTGCAGCAGAAAATTGTCTATCATCACCTGCCAATTCCAGTTTGGGTGAAATAGTAAACCATTCGATGTTTTGAAAAGGGAGGATTTTAAAGAACACTGATACACAAGAGAGGTAAGGCTTCATTGCTGCATCGCAGGAAGGCTCAGATCAGAGCTAAGTGTTGATTGGTTGCTGCATGGTTATCTACAACTGCACTGGAGGGCATGCAATTGCAGTGTACTTTGAAAAGTTTCACTCTAAATCGACATATATGTCTTCATTGTCTGTTTTGTGCCACTTCCACATGGAGAGACAACAAAGTGGATTGAATTCTCACTGTTCAGGTATAGAAGAGTTCATTCCTGTGAAAGGGGCAGGGATATGTCAGACCTATTTCAATATGCTCTCAGTGAAGGTGACAAAATGGCTCACAGCTCAAAAATTGTCAGTGACAAACTCTTCCTGTAACAAGGAGTGAGAGTCGCAGATATCATACAGTGGGAATTTAATTTCAGATTCAATTTGTCAGAACATCAGGGTCTTCTGCTTGGCCCAACTGCTAAAGGTCTTCAATATCCCAGTTCTTGAATGTTTTGAGATCAAAATGAAGGACGTTCTTAAGAAAAAAACATTAGAGGAATCTCAGTATTTTTCTTCAGTAGTGTCATGAGAATTTTCTGCATAACAATGCTTCAGGAATCCAATTCCATGTTGGGTGCTTTTGTCCAGTGATCACTGTTTTGAATCTTGCATTTTTATCATGGAAACTTGACTAGTTTACAAGGGCCTGCACACAAATACCCAAGTACATGGGTTTAACTAGGTTTGAAATTGGTTATCTCTGGGGATGATGCAAGATAAGAGAGACCAGTGGCTCAATGGATTACAAAGGGGCATCTACGAACTTGTAATGTTCTGAGTGGAAACTATTTCAGTCCTCCAGCTCACGTTCAAATCTGCTGATTCTGTAGGCTACTGGGTCCTGTCATCACTTTTGATTTCCAGTTGAGTATGTGAAAATGCTCAACAATTTCATCACATCAGCTTCTTCTAGGGCTGAAAATGAAATCAGGAGCAAACAAAGACAGCCCTATAATCATGACATCAGCAGGTGCCCTAAGGATTAACGCTATTCATTTTATAGGCCTTCAGGATGTCCATGGCAAAAACAGCGAGGGGATCTCAAAAGCATCAGATTTTTGGATTCAATCTCAATCTCATTTCTCAACCTTGCAAATATGGCTCCAACACCTACACCAACCAAAAACTTAAACAACGTCATATCTGCCATTTTAGTCTAAACCTGGACAAATTATGCAAATCAGCATATACAGTACAAGCCCACAACCAGTTGTTGGGCCTCATCCAGCACATCCAGAAGCCACCCACCCAGGTAGTTTTAACATCCACCACACACAATCTGACCCTATTTGAATTTTGGGGAGGCTGATGAATATATCAGTATTGCTCATCAGCTGAAGTCATGTGCCTACTCTTTGACCCCACACAGCCATGCATGTTGCATTCTTCCCAGTGGCCTGGAGGCCCTGACGCAGACCTTTGATCTCTTCTGAAAGACAGGCACAGCATGCCAGTAGCTCTCTCAAGGATGGTAAAAGATCAGTTAAAGCAATTTAGAATTTAAACAGAAGTAAGTGAGAAAAACTTTGGAAATCCTGTACCATCTGTGGCAGATGAGGCCACATTTGATGAAATTATACATTGTCATAACCCACAGGGGGTATGTTGTAACTAATTCTTTAAAGTCGGTGAACTCAGGACAACAAACACACACAAACACAGCCACAGGGTTCAAAAACACTGCTCTTTTATTTACAGTGAGGAAATTCAATACCCCCAAACCAAACAAGACATGGAAACAAAAGCCTTCTGTCGGACCTCTTTAGTTCCTCTCTATTATGCTGCTCAACTAAGATGCTTACCAGCTTCCAGACAAACAACTCAAAACACTGTAGTCACACTCTGAGAATCACCAAGACTTTATCTAGAAACACTCTCCCAGAAATACCTAAATGTCAAAACTCACAGTTCCCAAGTTCCAAACGTTTTGTCCTTCCCCATCTTTCTCTGGTGGTTTTGCTACAGATGTTACTCCATCGGAGACAGAGGGCAGATACCATTCACTGAACCAGAAAGCCACCTCATTCTTCATTTTAAACTGTCACCTGACCAACTGTCTTCCTACAACTGGTGAGGTAACCTGGGCAGTAGCAGTTCATTTCCCAATGGCTTCTGGGGAGCGCGGTTCAGACAAGGCTGCCATTTTGTCCGAACCGGCTGTGCCTTTACAGCACATACACAGGCAGTGCTCTACTGGAGTGACCAAACCACTTCTGATGCAATAGTGTTAAAAGTAATGGAAAACCTGCACTCTACATGTTCAAGATGAAAAGCAGGAGAACCCTCTGTCTAGTTGTAGGATAATAATGAACAGACCCAATATTGTGGGCAGATACATTCTTACCAGTTCTAAGACGCCAAACTGATAAGTTCATCAAGAACCTGATCCTAATTGTCTTCTTAGAACTTTTGTTGCATGGAATGTGCCCATGACTGTTCCCTATTGGAGCTCCCTCTTCCAAAATTCTGGACCAGTCCTACTGATTTCATCTGTACAGTTTGTAATTGTGGTGCACCCTCTTACTGATATACTGACATTCTGTTTTGTCAATGTATTTTGAGACAGTCCTTTGCCTTTCCCTAGTTTCTGTCCTTCAGAATGCTATGTGACCATTGCTTTTTAAATCGTCACCCAGCCAATTGTCTTGCATCAGCTGGCCAGGGGCCTGAGGGGAGGAAGTCATTCCCTACAGCATTCTGGGGAATGTGGTCCGGACAAGAGTCTCCATATTTTTTCTGAACTGTCTTCTCACACTTGGATTCCCCAAGTGGCTGCACACAATTAGCTGAGTGCTGGGTATAGGGTGGTCTGATCTGGTCAGGGTGCTTGCTGACATGCACTGAACTGGGTGAAAGTTGTGTCACCTTGAACTGAACCACCAGCGCAGAGCTGCGTTGCCGGTGATGTGCTAAAAATAATTGATTTTAAATTTATACATAAAAGGGAAAAATCCATAGGATGTTGCACTACAGTCATCATTACTGAAGTACAGTTTGATAAAATAAATTACTTTTTAAAATTGGTTCTGTGGTATGAATACAAAACAGATCATGTTACTGTATTTCCATATAACCAGGTAAGACGAACAATCAAAATTCCAGTGAAGTACAGATATTGAAATCTCCAAAGATATGTCTGTTCATTGAGTGAATATGTAAAATGGATAAGGCACATGTTTTCATTGCATATTAATGCAAAATGGATAAACTCACAGGTATAATAGAACAGCTCCTGAATATGTGAAGGAATGTAATGCTTAATAACTTGTTTCCTTGCAAAATTGCTTTAAATGATTTATGCAAATACAAAAATTTAATTCAGTTATTCACAATACTTCCCATGTGGAATGTTCTTGAAACTCAGGGGGAAAAATGTTTTCAGTTAAAAGTTAAAGATATTTTAAGAGACTCTTAATCTTTTTGATCATTAACATCATCGAGGTCCTACTGTTGTAATGAATTTAATGTTATATTGGGCAATTCAACAACAGGCCTGACGGTTGAACACTATGAGATGGGTGACCGTAGAATGTAGCTATGTTTAGATATCTCTTCATGTGTATATTATGGCTACAGCAGTGGGAACATAGGAGAAAATTACCTTGAAATAAGAATTTATTGACACATTGTAAGACACAGTTTGAATTGTACAGAAACTGCAGCAGAAGGAGAAGTAGACAACATCGTCGGCACACTCTCTGTCAGCTCTGTCAGCTCCTTGCTGAATATGTCCCATTGTTGAGTTTTGTGTGATTCTCTGTTGCAGATTCTCTTTTGCTGTTTATTGGTTAGTGCTAACCGAATTTTCAAACAAAATAAGCTTCCTGGAAAGACGTCTTGAAGCTGGATGGAGGAACAGCAAGAGGTCAATAAATGTGTTACATGAAGCACATGAAAGCCCTGATGAAGAGCTGCTAAATGAAGCCTTTTTCATGTCTGGGTATAACACACAAACCAGTAAGAACCTTTTACTCTCCTCGGCTCCTTCAAAACTCTCCAAAGCTCTAACTATCCTCCCTGCTTCAATTTACATCTTCCTTTAACAAACGCTTTGGGGTACCATTTTTGCTCTCTCTGTGTTTATACGTTTCCTCCTACTTTTCCACACGTTTTCCCCTCAGGAAATCTTTTCCCCGTAAGCTGTTTGTGCTAAGAAAAGAAGCAGAGTGTCTTGAAGGTCACCCAACCGAGAAACATAACAAAATAGGGTGGGTAAAAAGTAACAAAAAAACAAAAAACCCTCCTGGGAGGTACTTCACTCGTCATTGTCCTGTGGTTCTGAAGACATGCTGGGAAAGAGAGCGTCGCTCTCCAGCGACAAGTTGCTGAGGCCCGCGGCCTTGTTCTTGAGCAGGAACTGTGTCCGTCGGTGCAGGAGGCGCTGCTGCTCCTGCTTGAGCTCCACGTAGGAGCGGGAGAAGGTGTGGAAGATGGATGTGACAGGGAAGGCCATGAGCAGGATGCCGCTCAAGATGCTGCTGAGGGCCACCACCTGGCCGGGGATGCTCCTGGGAACCATGTCGCCATAGCCCACGGTCGTCATGGTGATCACAGCCCACCAGTAAGTGGCCGGGATGCTGGTGAAGTCCTGGGAGCCGGCCATCTCGTTCTCGATAAGGTACAGGAGAGGGGAGAAGAGCGCGATGGCCACACACAGGAACAGAAGCAGCAGCCCGAATTCCCGGGTGCAGCGTCGCGCCGTGAGGCCCAGAGTCTGTAGGCCTAGGGAGTGCCTGGCTAGCCGCATTACATACAAGATACGTAGGGCCCGCAGAACACGGAGGACCAGCCCCACTTTGTCCAAGTAGCTGCTGCCTGAGCCCAGTTTCTTCTCCCCAGTAGAGGTGGTGTCCACAAGTAGGGTGATGTAATAGGGCAGGATGGCCACGATATCGATCAGGTTGAGCGGCCTCCTCAAGAAAGCCAGCTTCCTGCGGTCCTGGATGAAGCGCAGGGAGAACTCCAAGGAGAACCAGGCCACGCACACCGTCTCCACAATGAAGATGTTGTAGCACATCTGGGAGCACTTGCCCTTAACAAGACAAGCACAGGCAAACTAGAGTCAGCCAGGCTTTTGGAGTTTCACTGATGTACAACAATTCAGAACATTTAACAACAAAACTCAACACACTTAAGAGCACCTAATTACACAATAATCACAAGAGAAGCAAGGAGAATGTGGATGATATAACATGTCTCAGCCACTCTTTACTGAGGGGTAAATGGCTGGTCTAATCTGCCTGCAGGCTTTCTTAAATTGGTTGGCATTATTACAGACTGTACATGTTTTCTAAATTCTGAGTTTTTTCTTCTAGTGAGATTTATATCCTCCAAGAATCTTTCACTCATTCAGTTAAGGCATCTCTTTACTAAAAGAGAGTGGAAGGACTTGATCGCATGGTTGACCACATTTTCTTCTTTAACCTCTCGAAAGATGTGTTTTATCATCATGACTTTATTATTCAAATATTCCTATTTATGCTTTTCAAAGACCAGAATATTTTGTAATCCTGTTTCCTAATTTTTGTGACCTATTGTAGTGTTCCATGCAATACGTCCATTTAAACATTAGAGGGAACTAGTGTGACACAAAAGCTAATAGCTACTGTAAGTCCATTTGCTCCCAAGTGTTTTCTGTTTTCTGATTTAATGTGCTATATTATAATATACATTGATAAGATTAATTAAATGTAATGCTTATTTTTTACTGTTGTACAGCATTGAAAGTCTGCTGCTATCGTTCATTTTATTTTACCTGTAACTGGAAGTGTACAGTAATTTCTCTTTTCAAAGCAATACAGGATAAGGAATAAACTTACAATGTAAGCGGCCAATAAATTTCTAAAATATCTTAATTAAAATCTGCAATTTATTTAAGGGGAGAGCAAGCATTAAAAAACAACATATTATGGATGTTAAAAAATGAAGTATTATGGATGTTTTATTCTGCTTTTCAGAGGTAAGATATCTTATCTGCAATTCTTTTACGTATCTGTGCCCCTGCAATGCTGATATCGGCTTCAATCAGCTTGTGTGAGATAGCAGCGTAACCAATGAAAGTGTAAAGAATATAATAAACTTCAGTTGACCATTTCCCCAGCAATCTTAGTGCATCCATTGTAAACAATAATTTAAAAATTCCAGCTGGGAAAAAAGTGATGTGGGGAAATCCTCTTGGCTTGATATCTACCAGTTATTCTTCTTCTCAGTGTGAAATTTCACTCGGAGGCTTCAAAACGCCTGGTGCACTTAGCTACAGAAGGAAGGACAAACTGCAGAGAAGAACAGACTGCAGCCGTAATTGTGATGTGTTGTGACTGTGACTAACATTTGATATGTTCCTGGTTGTAATATAATAAACATGGGACATAAAATTCTGTTTCACACAACTGAATTACAGCTAATTCTTTATCCACGTTTTTTGGGTTAGTTAGCAAAAATAATCTTCTATAGAACACAGGAACCACAATGGTCAAATGTTTTGGCCCAAATAAGATACACACAATGTGCCAATAGTAGGTTTCATTAAGATTGTGCCCCTATTCAAATTTTCCAGACATCCCCTTTTGATGTGCTACTGCTTCTAGCAGGGGACGAATCTAAAGTAAGCACTTATTGTAAGATTAGAATCCATGAATTTTCCCTGATTTTGCCTTTAATCCTTTTTTTCTGCAATAATAATGGAGCGAAGCCCAACAGCCTGAACAAGGACAGAGATCACTACACATTTTGCACAAGCACCCCTGCTGACTGGGGCTGGAGTTCTTTCTGATGGGTTTGCAGATGCATACGATTACAGGAAGAAGATGTAACTGATGTGCACTGATTTATTGCTGCAAACATGGTGTGGACACGTATTTCTGCAGAAATGCATTATAAAATTTAGTACTTATGCAAGTGATCTTTGTAAAATGCAAAGATAAGCAGCGTAATTTGGTCTGTGGGAAGCATGTACTTAACATATAATAAGGCTGCTTTGGTGAATACGGATATCACTGTGCTACATAATAATGAAATTTGAAGACAAAATATTGCTTGCATATTTCATTATAAATACATTTTATTGGGAGGCTGTTTGGTGAAATGGTGCTGGTCATTGTTGCACAGTCAGTGGGAACTATCCATGGTACTGAAGTCTGCTCTAACCAGGAATTATGTTGTTGGTCTGACTAGTAAACCCCACATGAATTTTAATAACATGAGTTTGAATAAACTTTACACATCGCTTTAATTGAAGATTATCTGTATTTCTGATAAATAATTGTTACAGACATTACAAATTGTAATATTTTCTATCTATTAGTCTTTAGACAGGGAGTTTAAGTGTTCTGTTACTGCATATGTATGGATTGTGTAGGCACTCCCTAAACTCTCTAAACTCAGATAGTTCACCTGGAATTGTGACCATCAGGTGCTAGCATGAACTACTGTTTGAGGAACTCATATCATTGATGTTTTAAGTATACATTAACAACATTTTTTTTGTTGAAATAAATTTCCCCGCACCTGTGTCTTTCTAAAGCTTTTAACGGAATATTTTTTTTCATTGAGAGCTTTGTATATGTACTGGTATATAAATTCAGTCTTGTCCTTACCATGACAACCCTTATCTGCCCAGACTTCTACCTTCTATTTTTGAAATACAGTACACAGTGATCTTCACTTCTTTGCGTGTGTCTAACATTGACTTAAAATATGCATGCCTGTTCCAGTCTAGTCTATTTTTGTCCCCACTGCCACCACTTGCAATTTAATTACAACACAAATTGAGGTCATCTGTAATAATGAGTATGTAAATTCAATTAGCCAGTGGAGCTTTTAAAATTTGTGAGATATTCAAACTTTGCCAAATTACTCTACAACTGGCCTGATACTTTGGGAGTGTGTACAGAACGAACTGCTCATTGTGCATGAACACACTCTGTGCAGCATGTAGACATGTGGTGGTTTTCTGATTAGAATACTATCACAAAACACCACCATTCCTTCATGGTGAGTAACACATACGTTGCCCACAAAAATAATGCATTGTAATGCAGACTTGAAGATTTTGATCAGAAGTAAGAGCTATTTTCTTGGGAGATCCAGAAATATCAATTGGACTGCTCTTCTTTTAAGTTCTAATCTTACCTTCACCATGCTAAACATTTCATAGGAATCTGTGAAAAGCTAAATACTACTGTTGAATACAGTAGGAATCTGTGGAATACTAAATAATACTGTGGAATATCATAGGAAGCTGCAGAATACTAAAAGTAGCTGAGATTTGGATCCATCTCAAGTTTCAGAAGTAACACCAGAGAGCACAGATGGCAGACATTTCCTCAGTTTGTTATATTCTTTTAATGCTTCAGAAATGTGCCTACCTAAGACACTTCTTTTTTTATTTTAAGGGTTTCTTCTTGAATGAAGCTTGGTAATTACTTTGTAATTAAAATTGCTGGAGTGGAGCAAAACAAAATATTTCAGATAGGCTCTTAGATTTGTATGTAGATTTCTTTTACACGTCAAAAAATGTCTAAGACTGTGGAAAACAAAATGAATCCTCTGTTTCAAAGTCTAGAAGAAGCACCTTTTGTTGGTTCATTTAAGATGATAACAAAAGTGATTTTTGTTTCAAACAAAAAACATATTAAGATCTTAAAATATTAATAAAATTATGGAAACTGAATAGTATCTTATACTTTTCCAGTTCTTAACTAAATGGATCTTTCTTTTTTGTTCTGAGATCTGAGGCCCCCAAAATAAAATTAGTTAGAAATATTAATCCCTGTATTCATTAGCATAACTGCATATTTTAATTATTCTCCTCCTTTTTAAGGGTATAGAATGGTCACAATCTATCTTTAATTTCCTGAAAATGCTATACCTGGAACCCAGATGCTAACGCAATAATCTGAAAACCAGATCTGTATAACATTCTTTGGCATAAGTGCCAGATAGGCATTCTTGCACGTTTGGCATTTAAAACCTGTTTCCTAAATCACTCCCATACTTTACATTCCATTTTAACTTCCTTTCAGAGTGCCATCTGTTAGAACTTTTTCACTTAAAATAGGACAGTGTAAATGATGGGCAGTAGGTAAATGGGCCAACCACATCAAATATCTACTGTATCATCCATTTTCTAAACTGCTTTAGAGGGAGCCAGAGCCCATCCTGGCAAGCAACAGACTCAAGGTGGGACACACCCGGAATGGGATGCCAGTCCATCACAGGGCAGACACTGACACACACTGAGAATCACACCAGGGCCAGTTTTCCCAGAAACAATTTAACCTACCAGTATGTTTTTTGGGAGAGAATTGTACAAGCCCCCTGTGCAGATAGCACCCCAGGTTCAGAATTGATCCCAGGGCCCCACTCATGAATCATTGATTAATCATTTCAATCCTTTTCAATTTTCAATGGTCGCTGATTGATGTCACATGCACGCCTGTCCTCTCTGAGCAGAAACACTTACTGTCTCCTCCTCTTCCCGCAAGCCAGGCATGGTGCTGATGGACAGGTTGACGGCAGTGATGGTGACAAACAGGACCGAGAGGCACGCGAAAATCTTCCCAGGCAGCCCCGAGTGAGGTCTTTCCACCATGTCCCTGAGCTTGCCCATGCACAGGCCCAGCCGCGACTCGGCCGGCAGGGTCTCGCAGGGGCTGCTGTCGGTCTCCAGCAGCTCCTCGCCCTGGTCCAGGTCGCCGTACTCCTCGATCCTCTGGAGGAACTTGCGCTTGCAGCACCACTCCATGCTCTCCTCCTCGATGCCCCAGTACAGCAGCTCCTCCCGGAAGGAGAGGGCGCACATCTCCCTCAGCATGCGCAGCTTGCCCACCCTCAGGAAAGTCAGGATGGTCCGGAACGCCCCCGGGTTGCGGTCAAAGAAGAACTCGTTGCAGGTCACGTCGTAGTCGTCGCACACGCTCATGATCTCGTCGAAGTTGGTGCAGAACTTCAGCTGGCCCAGCCTCGTGAGGGGAAAGTTCTCCAGGGTGGTCCACGGGAGCAGGTACCTCATCCCGCCTACGTTGATGATGGCGTGGTGCTTGCGGGCGCCGGGGTGTGCCCAGGCGTAGCTGTCCTGCCCTGGAGGGAGGAGCTGGGCCCGCTTGTAGAAGGCCCCTTTGATGACGTCGTGCTCCAAGAAGGAGGGGTGGTTGAGCGAGGAGTCGGAGGCGCAGCTGAGGGCACTGTAGTCGTAGTCTGAGCCATCTCCAGTGAGAAGAGTCATCTTGAGCCCTGAGCAGTTACATCCCTGGGGTCACGCTCGCTGCTACGACATCCTTCTCTGCTGGAGCGAAGGGAGAAGTTACTGAGCTGCACCTCTGCACTGAGCAAAACACATCTGCTGTGCGAAGCACAGAATCTCAGGCTTTCCTGGCTGCAGATGTTGCCTGGGACATCCTGCCAGAGTCGTCACAAATGTGAAATTCCCCAAATGTGGCCAGGAATTGGGTTTTGAAGACCAAAATAAGAAAATGAGCTAGAGGCGTCCGGTATATAAGCAATTAAAATCAAATATACCGTTACATTTGTTAAAAACATTCTATATTTTACTGCTCAAACATAAAAGTAGTTATAATGTGCAACTAGAAATGTTTGTAGAAATTTTTGTTTGCCTGTGTTGCTCATTTTTCAGGCTTTTGATTTGTAAGTTTTGTGTGTGAAAGACTTCTGAAATTCGTAAGGACACCATTCTAATGCTATATAAAGTTTGGGAACATAGATAAACAGAAAACAAAGATAAACAAATAAACCAAAGAGTGAACAAGTGAAAACAACAATACTGCAGCCAGACAGATGATTTAAATTTCTTTTTTAAAACGTACAACTTGACAAGAACCATAAGAAGGTAAAAAGCAAAAGGTTTTGAACCACAAGGGTGAAAAATATTATGAATAACACTCTTCCAGCTTCTAATTTTAATCTGAAGGCATTATCTAATTACAGTTAAAAATGTAGCGCCTTTAAAAATTCCTCTTGAGGGATGAGTTGGTGTGCAGAGTGATTTTGTTGTTCAGAAAGCCAAAGATGAACCATTTTACCTTAAAAGGGACTAAAACAATAAAAGCAAAGGGGGCAGAAATAGTGCTTTAGCTGGAGCAGAAGGGCTAGAAATTGCTTTGCAATTCATGCTTTAGTGCGGCAATCATTTGTGCCAAAGACTTAATATACAGTACTGTACGTCTTCAACTGTTCTTTGCCGAACAAAAAGAAAAAAAAATAAACAAAGAAAATGAATTCTTTTGTCTCTGCATTTGGAGCACAGTTCAGATGGAGACAAAGACATTTCTTTACAATGAAAGAAATTCAATCTCTGTGACTAACACAACCACTTGAATGGGTGTTGTTAGCAATGAAAAATGATGCATCTAGATGTTGGTGTCTTCATCTTTACTCCGTTGTTTGGGTTCTAAAGTAAATAAAAGCTGCAAGCAGACTGAAATGTTAGGATGTTATCACAACTGTGTTTCCTTGAAACAAAACTGTCCTTTGTTGCAGTTCTTGGTCACTTCAACTGCTTCTTCAACTGGCAGAGGAAAAAGAAGTTAGAAGAATTTCTCATACTTCCTGGAAGTTTATATTATCATGCCTGGGTCTGTCAGATGGAGCTTACAAATTAATGAGGTAAGAAGCCTATAAATGAAACATCTGTCCCAGACATCATTTTGTCAGACTTTATTTCAGCCTTACCAGGTTTCCAAATTTTTTTCCATTACTTCGGTTGAACCCGAGGGTAAAAACTAAAGGAAGTGGTTTTAATTGGTTGATCCAGATGCTAAAAGGAAAAAAAAATGTAAGAGTTAAATGAGGTACTTATTTAAAAAGTAAGGCAGGAGTATCTAATACGACACAAAGGAGACCATTTGGTTAAGGTAGAACCAGGCGCTGATTTCTTTACTACATTTATGTAAATTGGCAAGAGGATCTGTAAAGGGTGGGAATCCTGTTGCGATGGGGATTGAGATCTTCTTGCAAACTGTTGCTATTTCAGGAGCACTTCACAGCACTCCACACACAGCACTGCTTCATAGTAATTACTGTATGCATAGCACTGAGCCTTTAAGGCACACATAATGAGCTGGAAAAGGTTTCGTTTCTTTAAATGGCTCATTTCAGACCACAATTCTGGCGCCATTTCTATTTACTCTCCATGTAAAATTGTGCATATCCCAACAGATAGGAGCTAATGATACAAATGATTTTGCAGAAATTGCTCACGAACTGTACAGATCAGATTCTGAACAATGCACATTGCCGAAATCAATGAGAGAAAATAATATGCAATGATTTTGATAAAGCCAGCATAAAAATTGCATAAATGGCAAACAGGGGTAGCTAGAGACACTCCAGAACATTCTACAACCATGGGTCTCAAATAGTGATTGCAACCATCAGACTCTTGCATTATTCTTGTTTTTTTTCAGCTCAAGTCATGCAAGTTGAGAACGAAACACTGAATTCTATAAACAAACACAAATGGTAAATGGATAAAAACATATATGAGCTGAAGGGATAATATACAGTACATGGAACCACAGTACATATTAAACAGATTAAAAATGATTCCAAATTTAGGTATAAAAGAGTTGAAATTTATTCTGGGTATTGTAGTTAAGTCTTTTACATTCAAATAAATTCCTGTAAATACTATTCCAGGAGAAATTGTTTCCACCACCACAAGCTGCCTGAGCATGTTTCAATACATTTATTATTCCAGCACTATCCCTCACTCTAATGCCAAGCCCAGTTCCCCAATTTATTTTACAGATCATGCTCAATCCAAGTTACGAAGGGTTACTCTGCAAACAGAAACACCACAAACAGCAAAATCTCTTCTATGAATGGAAAAATGGAAAATCTGACCATTTAAAACAATGAGAAAGAGAGGTTTACAGGTCTCAATTATGACTGGAATCTACCCTTTTTATTCAGTTATTAATGTCTACATATCAAAGAGATAATTTTACAGACAAGTGTTCCATATTTATCTGGCCTTCCTGTACCATGACATTACTGTCAGCTCATCTCAGATTTTTTGTATGCTTTCCATTTGCCTGCTTTCCAGTGTGTTCCCATCAGCTCCCATGTGCTGTTCCCCATGCTTGTTTATGAACAGCTGTAGTCACTCTGGAGAACATTTATTTTTAGAAAATCAGAACATGTTGCAGAGGACACAACTGTGGCCTGCTCAACCAAAACAGTGTGATCCAGTAATTCTTTTCCAGGCTGGTATGGAAAAGATGCTAGACTTTACTACTGTAAGACACCAAACACCCTGGGCCACTTAACTTCTTACTAAGAGAGAATCGGTGTGTGAGATAACCCCAGTTCATGGAAACACAAGGGGACTTGTCACTTAAAATGTAACAGTGGTTGCCTGCTGTTTATTCACACTCTGCAAGATAGTAGCTTTCCAAACACAACAAGAAAAGGTATCTCAAGCTGGGAGCCTCACAACTCCCAAGTTCAAAAATAAACTAAAAGAAATATTCAAAATAACTAACAGACACTTCATGATGGGGGAAAACTCGGCTTTGCAGCACTTTCCATTATTTTGGTCCCAGTGACATTGTACTCATAGTTGTAGGCCCAGTGATAGCTGTGGCTGCTGTACTCAACACCTCCCTACTAGGACTGGAAAAGACATGTTAGTTCTTACTAATGAGATGCCACACAAATGGCGTTAGCTCATTTTTTTGTTGGTAGTAAAAATTGACTGCAAGCACATTTCTTTGCTGCATCAATTTTATTTTCCCTATTTATTTTATTTCCCATATTTTATTTATCAGAGGAAATGGATAGTTTTGCTGTCAATAGTATTGACTTTTCAACAAATTAGGTCATTAATGAAACATTTGAACCCCCAAAAGTATAGTAAGCGCTAGAGTATCTGGCCTTGGACTTTTGGAGAATAGGAAATCCTCACGCCTTACTTGAATGTGTCATCTGCAGAGAGAAGCTGGTAAACATGGTGATGGTGCCGAGAAAGTTAAAATACCATTTTGGACAAAAATCTCTGGCGATCAATGACATTCATTACTTCAAGCACTTGAAAGAACAAAACATGAAACCTCAACATGTGATAGAGTCTGCATGGGTGTTAAACAGAACTCATCAACGAAGTCCCAAAACTTTGCCAAAACTGCAATCTGGCCTGTATGTAAAAAAACATCGCAGATGCGAAGTTAGGAGCTGATGGTGCCATTGAGATGGACAAAATTCCACTCTCTGATAACACAGTTAAATGGCAAATTGACTGCATGTCAGCTGATTTTGGACAGGTGCTGCATGAGAAGTTGAAGACTAAAGAGGAGGGTGGATTGGCAAGTCCACTGATAGATCTAGATCTAGCCAGCACCTGCCCCAGGTTTGGAATGACGACAGAGACTCCTTTCAGGAGAGTTTTTATTTACTTTGTAAAGAGTTACCAAGGAAATATTTCTGGTAGTAGGAGAACAGAGGCTTTTCATAAGGAAAATGGACTTACGTGGGCCTCAGTGATCAGGAAAATCAAAGGATTTGTCTTTTAGGTGAAAGCAAAATCCTGACAACCAGATCAATTATTGCATGTTCTGTTGTGAAGCCAAAACAACTCCGACAGAGTTAACTGCAGTATTAGACAGAGCCATAAAGATCATGAATTATATGAAATCATGGCCATTGCCAACATGTTTCTTCATTATTTTGTGTTCAGACATGGAGGTCAAGCATCAGAGTTTACTGTTACACACCAAGGTGCCAGTGGAAGGGAGGTTCCCTCCTGTGTTCATGAACTCTGAAGACAACTACTACAGGGCTACTATCTGCATATCACTGGTGGGCTATGCTACATTATCTCACAGACATTTTCAGCTGTGTGAGTGTGTAGAAAATTCAAATGCAGGGGAAGAAAGAGACAATCCTCACCATCACAGATACACCTCAAGGTTTCAGGTCAGAACTGGGGCTCTGGTGAGAGAGAGAGGGGCAGGGGGTTGACTTGAGATGTTTCCTCTGGATTCTTTGGCAGAACACGGACATATCCCAACATCTCAAAATGCCGAAAGGCCCATCTAAATGTTTCGCTTCTATAAAGGTGGAGGAGTATTGCCACTTTCTTCTGATTTGTCACAAAAGCTTACATAAGAAGGATAATAGGAACGCGCATACAGTAGCAACAGATGGATTGCACTGTAAAGCTGACCGAAGTGACTGAATAACTGACGATCTCTGACCATTTCAATGTAGTATTGCCATTTCTGACAACACACCCCCGTGAGCGGGCATGTTCAACACTGGCAGACA